ATGGCAGCCTACGTGTCATTCTGTATATAATCCCATTTTTTACTTTTAGGTAACAACGAGACATGCTATCCAATCATCCACCACGACCTGACCATGAGTGAAAAGAAAAAGGAAACTAAAAAACTGATTATTTGCACACAAGCGTTACCGCAACTGCAGAACTACGGGCAACGCAGGCATGGATGGACTGGGAATCCAGGGCTGTTGGCCAGCCTCATTCATTACTCATACAGGTTTATCATCTCATTATCTTGAGAAATAAATAACTGTATTCTCGTGATAACAAGATAGTTGTCATTATCTCAAGAAGGCAAAGGAAAAAAAAAAAATTGAGTACGACTGCTTTAAAGAATTGATCTTGCAGGTTAAACTCTAGCTGGGACACTGACAGCAGCGTTGAAGGAAATGGTTGATAGATGAGAAGAAGCATGAAAGAAAAGAATGAGTTATTATTTATCTCACCAGGTGAGTGATTGAATGAATCAGAGGAGGCATCAGACAGTGAGTGAAGGGAGGCAGCTCTGCTGGCACTGCGTGTTACCGGGCCGTCACGCACTGGAGGCTGAAAAAAGGCAGAGAAACAGACATGAATATGTTAAAAGCTGCTTCTCCTGTGTCTCAGGCTGACCCAGGAGTTACAAAACAGTACAAATAAAATAACATGCCTGCAGACATTAAGTAGGTTGCCGTAAACTGGCTTTTATTTAAGGAGTTTGTCAAACTGTCAAGCGATAAACATACAAATCATCCGGTAGGTTTTGTGAAAAACAGGCAATATTGTTTGGAAGGTAAACAGCATGTCATTCGTCAATGGATGATGCGGAAAAAAAGGGAGAGTGATTGACTGAGGGCAAAAACAGCTGAGTGCAAACAAGCAAACAAACTAAAGACTTGAATATATGCTGCAGTGAGAGGAGAAAATTCATCCAGCTTCCACTTGAACCGCCAGGAGCTCCGAGGCTTTTATGTAGTCCTGGTATCCAGATCTGTGTCGGCCTATTCCTTTGTTTATCTACGAATTAATTTTAGGTCTTCTTATGTAAACATATCTGGCTGTTGTTACCGGGGAATTTGTTTTATTTATCTCGAACAAGCACTAAGATCCTTTTTAATTCCCTCTTGAGTTTCTGAACATAATTGAAATCTGCTAAGTTGATGTTTTCTTTGTGTGGATTTGTCCGCTTGTGGTTTTCTCCTAGTTAAGTGCAACACCTACAGCTCGATAATGGGAGATCTCACTCGTCGGCTGCTCGGTAAGAGCGTGCCCGTGGCTGCCTGCATAGCGTGCAGTGCTGCAATCATACTTGACGCTAATAAATCACAGAGTCTGTGAGACTTTCTCAGACATTCCAGTTATTCTTGACTCTCCTCCTCATTAGCTCTGGTCAGTCCTGTTGTTGTGGGCCACTAGAAGAATCCCGTCTGATTTAGTTCAGAAAACATTAATAAATTCTTTGTAATGTGAGTTACTGATGTCAACTAAACTGGAAACACGAGTAAGAGGATGACAGCAGGAGCCACAGTTGTATAGAGCGCTTTGTGAGGACACTTTTAAATCTTTGCTTGTTAACAAAACAAACGTTCCCACAAACATTGGCATACCTACAATGGAAGGAAAGACAAGGATAAACTAGAAAATTGTGGTCTGTGTTTGTTCCTTAACTCAAATTTAAACCCTTGTCTTCATAATTTACCATATTAGCAAAACAAGTCAGTCAGTGTGTCATTTCATCTCAGTATAAAAGCAGCAGGAATGCAGAAATAAGACCAAGGATGGGTTATAAATCAATATCCCAAGGTCTGCTTCATGAAGCGCCGTTTAATTCATCATCTTAAAATAAAACAGGAGGCTGCAACTGCAAACCTTAGCAGAGCACCAGTGTGGAGCTGCACCGACAGTCAGGGTAAGCTGAGCTTATAGAGACGCCGCCAAAAGGCCCCTGATGGTGCAGGACGTGCTGCAGGCTGCAAAGCGGCTGAAAGAAGCATTGCTTTTAAAAGAAGCTGTTTGCCCAAAGCAGGTATGGAACATGGCAAACAGAGCAGGTATACAGGACAATAAGTCCAACGATAAAGCTAAGTGCAAAACGCTTTGAGTGGTTTTTTATCAACACTGTATATAACCATTAAATCCATCCATGTTGGTGGCAGCATCATGCTGGTGGGATTTATTTTGGAAGGGAAGTCCTGAAAGCAAAACTATACTAAAGAAAAGGCAGGGATTCCCCCTTTCACAAGATAAAACCTGAAACATCAAACTACAGCTAAGAACTGAAATAGTTAAATAAAAATATATCTTTATCAAAAGAAAAAAATCCAAACTCCACCCTGACAATTTGTGGCACATTTTAAAACCATCTAAGTGTCTAAATTAAGCTATTTATGAAGGTGAATATATTAATATTTCTGATTCTGATTCTAAAGTAATAAAATAGAAGTAAAATAAAAAGCAGAATAAAAGCAAGAAAACATAAATTCTACCTCAAAACAGAAAGCAGCTCTAATAGCCGCAAAACATCCTTATGAAAAAATTCAAACACAAGGGGGCTAACTAGAAATGCACAAAACACTTCAGGGTTTCTTAATTATATAAAACTGCTTCTGGGTCCATCATATATAACTCCAAAAAATAAAACAAAGATTAAAGATTAATTTTTAGCTATGCTAATGTGAGAGATGCTTGACATTTTAAAGTGGACTGACCCTGAAGCGTGAGAAGTCAGAATAGGAGGCATCGTAGGTCTTATGGTGAGCTTCCACCAAGCTGGAGATCATCCGGGCCTGCTCCTCGTTCAGTCGGGGCCTCTGCGCCTCCCGGGCTGCCTCCTCTTCTTTCCTCTTCATTATCATTTCCCTTTTCCTCTGAACCTCCTCATCCGTCAGTATGACTGCAGGTAGAGTGAGATTTCAATATGTCAAAACAGGTAAGGTCATTTTCATTTGATTTATAACATATTATTTAAGGTAGGTACATGTTACTAAAATACAATTTACACAATAACATAGTGTCATCAGCGATCATCTTTATTTAGGTCAAATAAAGACATCCAACTAAGTTTGTTGCATGTGACCTCCTTCAGAAGCTCCTCATGTTTAAACTGATTTCTTTCTTGTGAAGTTCTATTGTTGAAAGTTAATATCAGGGTTTCTCTGTAATCTTTCTTCTCACTTAGAGTAAATGGCAGTGTAATAGTTTGTGATTCAGCTTAATAAACCCTGCTCCTGTAGTGACACCCAAAACACGCTAACACTGGACACTGTGGATGTAGGACAGGTCCCAGAAAACAAAGAGAAGGAGGATAAAATTATCACTTCTTGAGGTTTACTTTTGAATGGGTATCAGCAGTCTGAATAATACAAAAAAACAATAAGAAAACTAAATACCACAACAAGAGGTTCACCACATTATTGCTTCCAAAGTAGCTCTACCACTTTACCCACTGCAGAAGCAGATATTTTACATAACGAAGGCCAGAAAGTCATTGCGGAGCACATCAGCAGCAGGATATGGAACTTTACTGCTCATCAGGCAGCTGAACTGTTGAAAAAACACGTTTCTTCTTCTAAACTGTTTACATTTGATCACGGATGCACTTTAAGAAAAGGAAATGTCACGAGAGCTGTACAAAACAAAATTAAGTTTTGTATACACTCTGTATATACAAAATGACAAGAAAAGTTGTTTAAGTCTAAGTTATATTATGGCCTTTGTTTGTACATCTCCACTTAAGGGTATTGAGGAATATTTTTTATTTCTGGGTGGATCATCTAAATAAGTTGACTTCCTAATTTTAATCATTCTGGTGATATGTTTATGTAAGGCCGTCCTGAGTGCTCGTCCAGTTAGCTATCTTTTTCTGCGCATGCACACTTTCAGGCATATATCTGTGGTGAGCTTCTGTTTCAGACAGTCATTGAAGTTCACATTTCTCACCGTGGTTCTTTAAAAATGGCAGAGGGTTGTAAGATAAAAAATGTCTACGAAGTGTATGAGAAGAAAAGAAAGCCCTCGGAAGAGGCAGATATATCCCAGAATGCTTTGTGGGGAGAGCTCTCCTTACAAAGCATTATGGAATATGCTGTCACAGCGGCCCACTATTGCGACTAATAACAAAGATGGTGCAGGCACCGCGCCGTGGAGGTGGAGTTATGTGACCAACGGGGAGCAAAAAGCAGTGATCATCTTTCTGAACAGGAAGTTAACTTCGTTTGCTATAAAGTCCACTATATAGTCCCTGCTCTATATAGTGATAGAGGGATTTAGGGATTAGTCTGCTTCGATGGACTGGCGACCTGTCCAGAGTGTACCCCGCCTCTCGCATGTAGACAGCTGGAGATAGGCAAAAGCACCCCACTTGGGATAAGTGTGACAGAAAATGGATGGATGGATGGATGGATGGATGGATGGATGGATGGATGGATGGATGGATGGATGGATGGATTAGGGCGAACATTTAGGACAGTAAGCTTGTTTGAGCTATGAGAACAGAACCTTTTAAACAGAGTGTGAGCGAGGAGAAATGGGCTTGTGCATGCGTAATAGGCATGCGGGAGCGGGTACAGGGTTGTACGTGTGCATTTTTTTTTTATGTGATGAGGGTGTGTCTTTTAAAAAAAATTAGCGGAAACACCTTTAAGTTCTGCAGGAAGTCTCCAAACATTCAGTGAACAGTGAGTCAGGTCATGATGCTGTTTGATTTTTTTAGCTTTGAACATGATGCAGCCTGAACTGCAATATGAGGAGAATGAGGAAATCACTGGTAAAGCATCCATGAGAATCAAATGACTCATTACAACTCTGCATTACAACTATCCCCTTCCTGTCATCTGCAGAAAGACTCAGATGAGTCTGCAGTGTTGACACGATATTTGGTACTGATAAGTGGTGTTGGGGTACAGCAGGAACAAACATCTCATCTTTAATTCATAGTTCCCATGTAACGTCACATATCTGTCGCTACTGACCATATTAGTAAGCGATGTGAAACATTTTATAGGAGATCACTTTAGTACGGTGTGAGAAACAGAAACCACTGATTTGCACTGAGTCAGATCTGCTGCAGAAGAGGTGCCCAGAATGAAAAAAGCTGCTTATTTTTAAAAGCCGATAAACTTTTAAATTGTTTTTTTGACAGTTTTACTTCAATATATATGAATTCTAATTGACATGAAATGGAATTTGTGAAAAAAATGAGAAAACATATGTGATGTATACAGGGTTTAAACACTAAACAAAGCAATTAAGGTGGTCGAATTAAGGGGAAATAAAATAATATAATACAATTTTTTTTTATATTCATAGTAATATATTAGTGGAGTTTATCAAGGTATCACAGAATCTGACTTCCAGAACATTTAGTAAGTAAACCAACATGTTTTAAGCTAGTTGTGCAATGCTAGTTACTTTTCAACACTAGTGTTTATGTCTTACCTGCTCTATTATGAATAAATATCAATATGAAGCAAGCCATTTGCACTGGCTCTTGGCGACAGCTGAGCCAATAAGATGCATAGATGTTTTAGTAAACTCAGAAGAGTAGTGGGAGGTTGGGTTGGTAAATAATATTTGGTGCTGAAGACATGCTAAGAATCTCTAACAAAGAAAAACCTGGTTAATGCTCAGAAACCGGGTCGTCTGAGTGTGTGTCGCAAAAATATGCCTCCTCTCAAAGACACCCTGGTGATCCTCCCGAAAATAGCGTGGCAGAGAGGAGAGAAAGGAGGCCTCTGATTGGTCAACCCTACTTCTGCTCTACACTATGGGCCGGATCTATCAAAGGTTTGCGTGTATAAAAACGTGAGCTATTTCACTGCGCACGCTAAAAAATGTACAAACTGATCTATCAACAGCGTGCTAAAAGGATTTGGTCTTTAAAACGTGCTAAATAGCGCCTCTTATCCATTTAGTACTTTTTCTGCAATGAATATGCAATATGGGGCGTTTACACGCAAAAGTGCGTCTTGTGGGAGGAGAACATGTAAATATATTAATTTAGCACTCGCAAAGTGATTTATTAAACCTGAAAGCAATTTTGCTAACGGTATCTGACTCTATATTTAACACGTTTCAAGAGAAGGTGCAAATGGTCTGTATGCGTAATTGCGCACACATGGCAGCGGTTATTGTCGCAAGAAGGAGACATCGAAATGAAGCAAGAAGACGCAGAGAACGCATTTTTTCACTCCGTGTGAATATTTTTGGAATGAACGAGGAAACGATCATCAAAACATATCGTTTATCCAGCATTGCCATTTTGGAGCTGTTGGGGGAACTCCGAATGGATTTGGAGCCAGCCACAAGGAGGACCCACGCAATACCAGATATCACAAAACTCCTTGCAACGTTGCACTTTTTTGCATCTGGGTCATTCCAGCGTACAGTTGCAGCGAGAGCTGGGATCTCCCAATCTCGTTTTTCAGAAGTGCTGTCCGACGGGGTCGGGGTTCTCCCCCTGCGCCTGTGGAGCAACATGCCAATGCTGCGGGGATGCGTAATCTCATCCACAGTCACTTCTTGTGAGCCATTTGGTATGTGCATTTTTCTACAGGCCAATACAAAACACCTGTTTTTTTGTTGTTGTTGTTTTTTTTACTGCAGTGAAGTAGAAATTCAGCCACATACCACCTTAGGGAATAAAGGTTGCCAAAGTTTTTTCTTTATATATCACTGTAAGATTTAAATTTCTTAATGCACTAGTTTGTACAAACTACAAACTACTTTGCCGCAAACCACAAAACGCGCAAAACCATCATTTAAATAGGGCGTCTCCAACAGTTTTGCACCTGCCACCAGTTACGCAATCGCTCTTGTTAAATCACCCGCAAACCATGGTCCAGCCCCTCGCGCAAAATTCCAGTTTGCGAGCGCAAATTACTGCACGCAAAATTGGATCTTGATAAATCCGGCCCTATGTGTATTTCCTGTTTGGTACCTTACCGGCTTGTTTTGTTTGTATGACCGCCATTGTGGAAAACATGGACCAGCTAGAAGAGCATGTCGGCGAAGAAGGGAGGAAGTACCCACATCTGTACGACTCTCGTTCTCTAAATCACAAGGACAGCACATATACGAGCAATCCAGTCGCCATTGTTGTTTAATGACCTCCGTTAACAGAAGAGAAACACGCCACCCATCACACCCACAATCCTAGCTAATTCACAATTGTCCCTCTAACCCAATGTACTGCTGTTCTGAACCTGTTCTGGTCCAGAACAGGTTCCTGGACACCCAGTCTACTGCCAGACCATGGGCATTAGGAAGGTCAGCAGACACCAGTGTTTCCACTCCTGTTCCGTTAATAAAAGCTCTTTTGATGGTCTGCGTGCGCACATCTGACCAGTAGATGCGGTGCTCCACGGAATCATAATCCACCACGGTCACATTATCTATGTCCGGCACGGTAAAGGAGATGATGTAGTTGTAGTAAGGGTTCCACGTGGCGTGGAATAAAATAGCACAGACCACGCTTCGAAATTGGGCATACATCAAAAATATCTGTATCATACCTGCAACAAGCTCACTGAGACACACTACTGCGGGAGTATAACCAGCCCTTTAGACTTAACTTTTAAGTTTAAGTCGAAATTTTTAGACAAACAACAAGTAAATATCAACTACAAATTTGGATTAGTGATATATTATTGTGTCTAGGTGTCTTAAAGCACAAAACATGAAGATACTTTGTCAAAATACTGAGGTTAGTCCATTGGAACCCCATATAGGAAGTCTGATGGTCACTGTCATGACTGTTACAGCATCCACTGCCCCTGCATGCCAAAACCTTTATTAATCGCTTGACTTTTTGCCATAGTAAACAATTAGCTATGACTTTCTGAACTATGGAGAAAGGCAGACTGACCAACAGCATGACACCCAGACAGATTAAAG